TGAGCCTGGGCTGTCCCAAAGACGGTATTTTCTTTTACACTTGTGCTCTAACAATAACCAAAAGGAGAATCTCCCACAAGTAATTATTTTCCCCTTTGCCATTCAGACCTGCCTTCAGAAACTTCAAGGACTTCATTATGAAGAAAGCTTTTAAGAACCATAGAAATCCCTTTGCTTTTGAAAGTGCTAATGTATGTGGTGTGCTGCGGTTGAAGCTGCAGGCTTCAGACTGCTTTATCTCTTATCAGTGGTCTGGCTTTGTGCATGACAAATTCAGAGGCAACTGTATAATTTTAAATTCCGATTACCATAGAGAAAAAGATGCATCTGACATCCCAATGCAGGAGCTTTGACTATTTGAATGGAAGTATGTTGGAACTGGGGGAACCTTCCACCAAGGAGATAGTGATGAAAGACCAAAGAAAGACATTTTATCTTTCAGATAAAAGGTCTGTTTTCTAAGGGTGTTTCTTTTATTATAACTTTTCCCCCACCTGCTACTGAGGCATCATGCAAATATATCATTCCAGGAACTGCTTCCTAATCCTTTAGGTGCCTAAGATTTCCTGGGGCAAGGGGAAGAGGGGAGAAGACTGTAAACTGGTCTTGTTTACAATCTAATGAAATGAGATTTTTGCACTTTTCACAGAGCTTTGAAAAATAAGTATCAGGGGCTGGAAAGGATCTGTTTGGTCCAAACATCATGCTACCTTTTTGCCTAAAGCAAGTTACTCTTATCTAGCTGCTCCTGTTCAGGGCAGTGTAGCCAATTTAATCCTCTTTCAGCTGTATCCAGATAAAAGGCTGAGGGGTTCCCTTAAGTGACATTGATTAGGGTCTCTTAAATGGTTGTTTGCATTAAAAAAATCTTCCCCAACACAAATACACTTACAAGAGTCATTCATAAATGATATTATTTTGACAATTTTGAGTAAAAGCCTTGGATTAGCAAAAGCTGTGTTGACTGATGGCAACGTACCCCCACAGAAGTAGGGATGTCACAATTCAAAGTATGCCCTTTTCTTGCGTTGTCTCTACTCAGAGAACAAAGACCCAGATTCTTGGAAACTAAACCGAACTGGCATAAATATGATTCCTCCCAGTAATAGCTTCACAAAAAGAAATTTATTTTTTTGTTCCTCCATATTTTAAGATGCTTCCTCTGATACAATTGTTTCTTGGTTCCACCAATGCCTAGTGTGGAGGGAGGAAGAAGTTAGTACCCCTGAGGTGTGGATAACTAAGGGGGTGTTCAGTCAAGATTGTGTCAGCAGGACCATGGAATAGGCATCTTGAGTATGGAAAGGTGAGGCGGAAACCTCTATATGTGAGGAGACAGCAGAAATAATCTCTTTAGGAAATTGATTCTAAATTTAAATCGTAGGCTCCCCTGCTTCCTTCTTCTCACACAATGGTGCAGACCCGAGGAAGCACCATCTTTTAAGGGTCTTTCCAAATGACTCTTGGAGGATCACATCTCTCCTTTTTCCTTTATTTCATCCTCTTTATTCCCAAGAATCCTCTGAGCCTATGTTTCTCTGACAGGTGGATCACTACCCCACATAGTGTAGGGTGGGCTTTCTGCATATAGTTTAAAGAATGACTTCCCTCTTACCTTGCCAAATATTTACATTCCCTAAGTCCATATGGAAATGTAGGCTGACTCTCTACCCTCAGGAAATTTGCTCCTTTTCCTGCTATATCCAACACATATGACAAATGACCTGCAGGTCAAGGGTCAGCAAACTTGTTCTATATAGAGCTATATATAATATATGGTAAGTATTTTATGATTTGTGGGCTGTGAAATCTCTAACACAACTACTCAACCTTGCTGTTGTAGTGTGAAATCAGCCATAGGCAACATGTAAGTGAGCATAGGTGGCTGTTACAACAAAACTTTATTTACAAAAATAGGTGGTGAGTCAGTCAGATTTGGTTTCCAGGTCATAGTTTGCTGACCCCCGTTCTGGGGTCAAACCTCAAGCGATCTTTGGTCTTATGGTTGCTAGATAGACGATGGAAGAAGACCTAACGGAAGTGAAAACCCAGTTCAAGTTTCTAAGATTTATTCCTTGGGCAATATGACAATTACAAAGCTGCCTGTCACGTTTCTACCTACATAGATATATGCCACCCCTCATAAGGCTTTTGAAAACCTCTGCAAACTCTGAATTTTCCCAAGACTGAACTTTTATGATTTATTGAGCACATATCAAATAGAATTAAATACTAAACATATTTGGGGATCAATTTTTAATTTATAAAAATCTTCTGAAGAGTACTAACATACTAGAACTTCGAGCATATTGAAGATTTGTTTGAACTCTTTGTTTGTTATGCCAGCTGCTTAATATACCCGAATGGGTGATTGTCTAGAAAATATTTATAAAGATTAGAAAGAATCTCATTTTTTAAAGTAGGGGCTAGCAGACTTTCATGTAAAAGCCATCCCCCCCCAATTCAGATAAAACTTTCTCTGATGACCACAGAAAAATATTCTAGTTGAAGGGTGTTAGGAGACAAAAGATGTATGTTGAGGAATTTAGAATATATTTTGCTGATTTCTACTAAAAGTCTGAACTGAAATACGTGATTTAACCCATACCAAATTTCCTACTTATTACTTGAATGAAAACCTGAATTTTATATCATGGCTATTGCCAATAGGGCCTTGGTTTATATTTTTGATTCCTATGATTATTTTTCTTCTTTTTTGTTATCTGATTACCTCTAGGATTAAATTTTGCATATGAGATCACACTAGTTTCTTTTTTGACCGGGGCCGGGTTTGAACCCGCCACCTCTGGTATATGGGGGCTGGCGCCCTACTCCTTTGAGCCACAGATGCTGCCCACACCAGTTTTTTTTTAATTAACATAAAAGTTCCAAGATGCTGATCAAGGTCTTATGTGATGACAGAACAAAAAGAGAGGAAAGAGGTTCTGGGAACCTTTTGCTCTCTCGTCACCCATAGATTATGTACTTGAGATGTCAAAATGCAAAGATGGTCTTTCTACTTAAAAGAAAAAAAAAAAGGACTACCTTTAGGTATTTACTCACAAAAGACCTTATAGCTAATATTGTTTATCTAAATGACATGGGGTAGGCCCTCCTAGTAGCCAAGAAGGGCCTTTTCTGGCTTGTAAAAACCCCATACATAATAATATTTAGGTTCCAGCAGCATGGCCCTACAGGATAGTAATACTACTTTTATTGAGTAATCTGATATCTTTTATGCTTTTCATTTTTAGACCCTAGTGCTGTAAACTAACCAATCCTATAGTCTTGTCCTTCTGTATGGGGATTTCTGCCTGGAGTGAGCCTGGCAACAGCATGGCTGGCCAGGCCAGGCCTGCCCATTTCTCACTTCTTAGTGGCCAAGCTTTCTTTTATATCCCTGTGTGCAAGCCTCAGACTGATGCTTGAGGGTCATCTAAAAACCATCAAATCTCTCATTCATCTCCTAGGACAAACCTTTCCCTGCTTGTGAAGTAAGAAACATTAGAATCTCATTGAGAGAAACAAAAAACAAGAAACAAAATCAACAGACACCACTCAGGCCTATAAATATCACTTCATTTGATTGTGGGGCTCTCCAAATGGCAACCTTGGACTCCAAGACAGTGACATCTCCGTGCTGGGCTTCTTAAGAGTCCGCATCTGTCAGCCACTTGGTTTGTCTGTTAGCTCTTAAGATGCCCAGTCATGACTAAACCATTCCCCACCAATCACCCAAAATAAACTACGGGTAACAACAAGATAAATAAGATGTGCTTCTCCTTGCTGAGTGCATTGACTTAAGGCATAGGCACATTTCCCCCTCTTTGAACAGAGATGTTGTAATCCCCTGTCCCAGCACAAGAGCTGGCCAGGGTGACCCTGGAGCATGATGATGAAGGTAGGTTGAGGAGAGGTAGCTGATGGCGGGAATTAGAGTACTGCTCCCACATATGGGGCAGTGGGTGAGGCTGGGCCCCGGGGCACACAGTAATTCTGATAAAGACACTTGACTCATTCTGCGTTAATGTTCAGTGAGCAATTCTGGCAACATGTAATATTTTAGATCTATGATTCCTGGAGAAAACAGTGGATTTAGGAATGTGAAGACCCTAGCACTGATAAAACATACAAGAAGATCAAAGCTAGAATGTTTGTGCATGCTTTTAAAAATCAAAAGCATGTCTCTACATTACCTGCCATTCCCGAGAACTGTGAAATGTGGGTTCCACATGCTGTTCTTAATTCAGCTTCCATCTTGAAATGGCTTCTGTTGGGGGAGGACTTCTGCTGTTAGAGATTTTTGATTGACCTGATCCTTTGGGGTTGGGATTTGTTGGATAAAGTCAGAAGTGAGAACATAACAGTTTGTGAGCTGCTTTTCATTTAAACAGGGACGTACACAGTATCACCCATTAATTCCTTGCCTGCCAGGCCACTGAGTAGCTTCCAGCCAATGGAGGAGCAGCTGTTATCTTATTTTGTACTGATTTACAGCTCCTAATTTGACTGTGGGAGAGCAAGATAGCAGAAGTTGGTGAGCAGTTCCAAAGTTGCTGAAATCCATCCTCCTCCAAGTACAAAAGCCTGATAGTTTGGCTACAAAGGGAGGGCAGCCCTTTTGAGTTCTTACGGCTGACTTGTATGAAATTGCCCCTTCCCTTACTTAAAGAGGGGGAAGTTGGCCAGCCTTCTAAGTGCTAAAAAAGGAAACCAAACCTCTGTTTTGATACAAGGTTCTGAGAGCTTGAGTGTGACTTGGAGATTCCCGCCATCACTCCCTCCTATTGACACAAAAGGGGACGATACACTATCAGTTGAACATGTGGGTGAACATTCTGTCAGTGTCCAAAACGCTGTGTGATTCTGAACAGTCTGGGGAACATTGGGCCTGAATTAGTGTTTAGACTTTTATCACTTGGGTGGTAGGGATGGGATGGAAAATGACAGTGGATATCACAGGGTCACCCATGGTTCCTTTTGTACTGAAACCTCATTTTATACAGAGGATATATATATATTTATTTATATATATTTATATATATTTATATCCACCCACACACGCAAACACACTCAAACATACACACGCACGCACACATACACGCACACTCACAAAAGGTCTTTGATAGGCTTTCTGTGTTCTAGTAAAAATAGCTGGCAGTCAGTGTCTGAAGCCAAAAAAGGCCTTTATGCTGCCAATAATGTCCACTATGGATAGTCTTTCAAAGGCAGACACTTGTGTTTATCTGACAAGTGGACCCGGTTCCTGCCTGGGACAGGAATAATCTCCCATTGGCGCAGACGCAGATCTCGAAGACCTTCTGCCTTGTTCCTGCGGGCGTGTAGGATCCATGAGGCAGTCTAGGTAGTTTGATTTTCGCAGCATCTAACTTAATCTAAAGAGAGTGAATAGGAAGGAAACAGTCAGTCAGAGGCTGTCATTTCTGGATAGTCACAAACAATACAAGGGCTCAATTTAACTTAAAATTATTCTTGGCATTGGGGATTCGAAGATAAATGAGACAAAAGTCCCTACCCTCAGAAGCTTATGTGCCAGCAAGATAATCTTGTGAAAGAAGTCACATAGACTACGAATAGAGTCCTAGAGTCATGTAAATGTGGAAATACCACGTTTAACAATTTTTTTTTTTTAACCATAGGACATCTCAGCTTCCAGATGTGCCCAGGTGCAAGGAGAGTCTTCAACAAGAATAGAATATGCAAGGGTTTTCAAGTTTTAAATGACCAGTGAGCCTTCTTTCATTTTTTTCTTTTTCTAAGAATTTATGTACCTAATATTCCATAGAATACACTTTGAGAAAAACATGCCTATAAAAATAAGCAGTGCTGGAAGGGATCATTAGATTTATGAATATAACTGATTCTTCCGTTCACATTCTGATAGCTATAAACTGCGTATGCAAGGTAGTCATGGGTTTTATGTGTGTGGTTTGCAGTTTGTGGCTGTTTAAAGAGGCAGTTGTGATCATCGAATGTACTATCTCTTTTAAAACAAAATAGCAAATGCAACACCAATCAAAAGGGGGGCTTTTGTATCCACAGAGTGAATGTACAGAAGCAGGTGGAGGCTGATAACCCTTCTCATCAAATGGAAGGAGGAATAGACGTTGGCTTTGAAAAAACAAACAGTTTTTTTTTCCCTCTTATTTTTATTCTTAAAGACAAGCTGACTTTAGAACACTTTGAAGGCATTTTTAAGTTTGCAATCAAATAATAAGTTGTTGTGGGGGGGGTGGTTTACCTTGTTTGCAAAAACTCAAGCAACATTTCTGTTCACCCAGCTGGGAGTGTATTGGGGTAAGAGAACAAATATCTGCCATCCTTCATTCTCTTGTTGCCTGGGCTTACCCTATTAAGTTTTGGCTTGTTCTGGTTTTGAATAGCTGTTGGATCTGATTCTCTATTCTCAGTGAAAACAGAAATGTTCAGGATGAAATAACTACAAGTAAATTAAGTTCATCTTCAGCCAGATGTGTGTAATATACAGCCTAATTATGCTGGCTAGCTGAATCTTATTTTAAGGTGACAACTGAGAGAGTTTGAAAATAGCATTCATTTTTCCGGTCATATAGTTCTGTATTTGGAATACATGCCATTATCTTACTCCTTTACAAATAATGAATCATAACATTTATGTATTGTGGGTTTGGCTTATAATCATGCTGTTTAATTATTTGTTTTGGACCAAAAGCCTTCTGCTCGGCACCTTTCACTGATACAGTTAGGTACCACCTCTGTGGCAAACCAGCTATGGGCAGGGTTGGTCTGCTGGAACCTCTGTGGGCTTCTGTCCTTCCCAGCCCTCACCTCTCCATCTTTGGACTCCAGTCTCAGCTCTGTTCTGCAGGTGGCTTCCATGTTGCCAGCTTCTGCATTGATTTCGACGCCCTTGGGGGCCTCCATCACCAGAGACCGGGTCGGGGATTCCAACCTGAAATACACACAAGGCTGAGATTAAAGATTCCATTTCCTGCTTGATAAATTGAAGGGGAAGTTCACGCTCAGGGCACTGAAAAAGCATTTCAGTATTGACCAGGAAATGATTCTAAGCTTTGCATTACAAATGAGGTCAGCTTTAGGAGAGAGAACACAACAGGTCTAGACTTTATCGTCATTGCTTTATACTGAGGTTGCAGGGGAGGTGTTCTAGGATCCTGAGTTCATTTTATCTTACATACCATTCTTGTTTTACTGGCATAATTAACCAAATTCTTAGATATGCCTTTGTTAAGTATTTAAGCCTCTTTTTATATATATTTAAGACTGGGGCAATCCCAGGTCTAAGCCGAGCTTCTTGGAATTGATAGGTATGTCTGCTACTCTGTCCTGCTTTCTGTCTTCCACGGAATCAGAGGTGAAGAAAGTAGATCGGTGAGTCAGACATGGCGGGAATAAAGCCATGCAATAGCTACTATATGACTGTATGCGATTATTTCTTCCTGTGTGTCCTCTTTCCTTTTCTTTCCAAAATTTCTTAAAGCCTCAGTTTCCTCATCTACAAAATACTTCAAATGCTGCCTGATATGTTGGAAATGCAAACCTAACTTAAATATTACTGCCACTAGTATTATCATACCAGCGAATCATGAAGAAGTCTGAGGCATTACCCATCAGAGCAATTGTCAAAAGCAGATTCAGAACAGATCACTCGTTGCCAGGGGCTGTAGCAGGTAGGGTGGTTTGGCTGCAAATGGACAGCATATGCAGGGGAGGCTTGGGGGATGCAACTATTCTGTATCTTGGATTGCAGTGGTGGTTACATGTCTCTGTGCATTTGTGAAAACTCACAACTGAGCAGATTTTATGGTTTGTAAGATAAAAATGAAAAGAATCAGCCACACTCTATGATAATTATGATGACATAACAGAGGATACTACTTCGTATAATTTTTTTCTTAATTCATTTGATGAATAAAATATTAACTGAAACTCAACCCTACCCTGAATATGCTATATTTTAATATTATTACCGAAGAGGAGTGTATGACGATCCTCCTCTTTGTTACAAAGAAAGTACCCCAGCGTAGGAAGCAAAGGCCTCCACAATGGTTTTCAAACCATTCTGCCTCAGACTAGTTACTACAGAATTATTTCTAGGTTTCTAATTTTTAGGCACTTCGAACATGTTGAGGAGGAACATTATCCTCTCTGCCCTCTGCTGACTCCTGCTCTGTTTTCACCACTCCCACTCCCACTGGGCAGTACGAACTCTTTTGGCCTCAGTAAGTGGTGAGAAGAACAAGTTGAGAGGTGGGCTCCACCACGGAGCACTCCTCAGCCACACACACAGACGCCAACAGTGGGCTTGTCCAGCCACACTTCTCAGGTCTGGGTTCTGGATGATTGTTTCCAGGCAGCAGCCTTCCTCCTTGAGTTGTTTACTCCTGCAGTGACTCAATTAGAGTCTTACAGAGAAGTGACAGGCCTACAGTACTTAGGAGTGACTGGAGCTTCTATTTAAGGAATCGTTTCCTTTCTGACCTCACCCCTCCATGTGTGGCAAACCCCTCTACCCCTCTTCCTTCTCACAGGACCCTCACCAGGTTGTCGTGAGCCAGGTGTGGCTCTGCCTGGGAGGTTTACTTCATTTGCATGGAGTTATTCCTACAATGATGTCAAGTGCATTGAGGAGGAGGTCTTGTTAGGGCAGTAACTTCACCAGTACCATCTTGCCTGCGACCTTAATCCAGCTCAGTGGAACTCTCCTGTGCTCCTGACCTCCCGTCCCTTTTGAAATATCAAGATGGCTTTGTGTCATTTTTATTTTTCTCCTACACAGTCTGGTTGACTCCTATAAAATCTCCTATATTCTGAGATTGCTAACTCTTTTGTTTTTGCTAATGTTGATGCTCTTTGTTGCATGAGCTTCCTTACATTCCCTACATTAAGGTCATGAGGCTCTTCTATCTTATTTTCAAAGGTTTTGGGTCTTTTCATTAACTCTCTAATGTATCAGGTATTCATTTTTGTATATGGTATGAGGTTGGGGTCTAATGAAATGCAGTTTTTCTCAACATATGTTGAAAAGTTAATATTTAGTTCCATTGTATATGATATTTCCATACCTTTCTGGTTGTTTCCTGGGGATATTTAGTGTGTCTCATTTTTCTATTTGTTTATTCCTGTAAAAAGTTCTTTAACTATTTTAGCTTATTAGTTTTTAAATTCTGTATATTTCATAAGGCAAGTCCTTGTTTTTTCTCAAGAATATCTTAGATAAATTTTCAAACGAACTGAAGTTTCATGAAGAAACTGTTAGAATTTTGATTGGATTCACATTCAGTCCATGAACACTGTATCTGTCTCTAATTTGTTATGCTTACTTTGATGTATTTCCATAGTTTAATAGTTTTCTCTATATAAGTTCAACTACGGAAAATGATATTTTTAAAAAAGTATTTCTCATACTCTCATATTCTTTTTTTCTGGAATATCAATATCCAACTTATTATTACTATTATTAGTTTTGGTATTTTAATCTTATAGTCGACACTGAGGTAAATTATTTTTTATAATCTGTATACAGATTATTTTAGGTTTTCATTGTAACCATTAATTATTTTAATTTATAATAGTTTTTGTGTTTTTTTTCTTTTCTTTTTTTTTTTTTTGCAGTTTTTGGCCAGGGCTGGGTTTGAACCCACCAACTCTGGCATATGGGGCCGGCGCCCTACTCCTTTGAGCCACAGGCACTGCTCCAAATTCATAATAGTTTTATAATGTTTCATTTCTTAGTCCTTTTAATTCTTTCTCCTTTTATACTTTACTGTCTAGGACTATCCAATGTTTTATTATAGCATTATTGGAGCTGCTCCAAAATATGTATCAATGTGGTAAATACTGTAGATTTGTATATATACATACATATATATATGCAATATATATATATATATATAAGCACTATTTTCTTATGTCTCCTATGACATCTTTTACCTGTATACATTTTTTGATGTGATTATTTTTAACATGCCAGAAGTAATAAGTATAAAAAATAAAGAAGTAAAGAGATGGAAATCTTGTTTCTTCCTAACTTAAAGAGAAAACTCAATAATTTAACATTAAGAATTTTTTTTTTGCAGTTTTTGCCCAGGGCTGGGTTTGAACCCGCCACCTCCTGCAATATGGGGCCGGCGCCCTATTCTTTGGGTGGCGCCTGTGGCGCCACCTAACATTAAGAATTTTTTATTGTTGTTCAACATTTTTCCTTCCCTAAATACCTCTTAACAAGATAAGGTACATAGTTCCCATCTCTTCTTATTCTGCTAAAAGTTTCTGTAATTAATAATGTGAATTTCATCAATTATTTTATTTTACAATATAGCTATATTATGGTGTTGAATTATATTTGGCATTAACCCAACTTTGTCCTTATGTATCATTTTTTCTATATTTTTTCAAAACTAGTATTTTTTAGGATTTTGCACTTATGGTTATAAATGAATTTAGCCTTAATTATTCTATCTTACTTTTGTCAGGTTCTATCACTTTTCCATAATTCAGAATTATTTATGAACGATTAGAATTATTGCCCCCTTTATGTTTAAACTTACTGATGAACTCTATGGGCATAAAAAATATACCTTATTTCCATTTAAAAAAACGCCATCAACTTGGTTATATGTTTTTCCCTTGGTTGTTTTTTAAGTTATCTTTTTTTCTTCGTATTTTTTCATGGTGTATAAAAGTTTAGTTTATTGGAAAAGTTCCTCCTTTTTAATATCCTTTTTTTAATAACCTCTTTTTTTAATGCCCCCTGCCTTTGTAGCTTTATCTTCGTTTTGTTCCCAATGTTTTTATTCATGCCTTCTTTTTCCTTTGAACAGTCCTGCCAGAAGTTCATCAGTCCTTTCAAAGAGCTGACTTTTGGTTTTGTTAGTCTGATCTATTTTATGTTTATTTCCAGTTCTTGAATTTCCCTTTGTCTTCTTATTCTAGGTAAGTTAGGAGACTTCTCCAGGTCTAAGATCTAAAACATGCTGCTTTGCTAATTTTTGCCTTTCCTAATTTTAATGTATGCATTTCATGTCATGTATTTTTCTTTGACAGCATTGCAAAGGAGTACTTATAAAATCGGAATAGTTATTTTCCAATGTTGACTTCTCTTGTGGCCTATGAGTTTCAAAGAAGGGTAATCCTTAATTTCTTAATAGACAACATTTCCTATTATAGATTTCTAGATATTTCTAGTATATGTTTTCATCACTGGTTTTGAATTTTTGAACCTTGATTTTTTTTTTTTTTTTTGAGACAGAGCCTCAAGCTGTCCCCCTGGGTAGAGTGCCATGGCATTACAGCTCACAGCAACCTCCAACTCCTGGGCTCAAGCGAGTCTCCTGCCTCCGCCTCCCAAGTAGCTGGGACCACAGGCACCCGCCACAACGCCCGGCTATTTTTTGGTTGCAGCCGTCATTGTTGTTTGGCGGGTCCGGGCTGGGGATTCGAACCCGCCACCTTAGGTGTACGTGGCTGGCGCCTTAGCCGGTTGAGCCATAGGCGCCGAGCCTGAACCTTGATTTTGAACTGACAATCTTATAATGGTCAGAGAACCTTTTCTGTATAAAATCAATTCTTTAAAAATTAAGACTAACTTTTTGGCCCAATATGTAACAATTTTTATAAATATTCCTTGCCTGCCTGAAGAGAATCTGCTTTCATTTTAGGTGCCATGTTTTTATATATGTCTTATTAATTCAGTATTTAATTGTTCAATTTTTTATGTCCATATACATTTTTAACTGTTTGATCTATCATTTACTAAAAGTGGTATGTTCTTACATGTGTATCAGCTAGAATTGTTCTGTCTTCCTTATCTTACTAGTATATAGCGATTGTCTTTATTTCTTGCAATGCTTTTTGTCTTAAGATCATTTGTCTGTTAGTATAGTTGTCCCATTTATTTCTGTTATTTGCCTTGGACACATTTTTCTAGAC